TTAACGGATAGTATTGGCCAAACACTACATCCAAATCGGGCGACAATTGGCGCCAATAATTCAACAATTGTTTGCCGAAAACATTGTGCGGGAAAAATGTTGTCGGCGTTAGACGTGTGTAATCGACTCGACGGTCCAAATGGTGGACACATTTGTCGCACTCACACACTATTGAATAGGCTTTGAGGGCCTGTCGTCTGTCCGCACGCTTTTGAAACAATGGCACCAAAGCGACGGTAATCTCTTCGTCCGCCTCTATTGGTCTCATTGCTCGCAATTCTTTCGACAGTCCTATCATTGAGTGATTGGATAATCATTAAAATGATTGCAAAACAAATATGGTTTCCATACCTCTGCAGTTGAATATGAAGGCACTGTTGGGCTGACAGCTGTGGCCGAGGACTATGTACTGTATATATAGTCCGCGACCAATAATACCGACCCTTAGATTAGATTTGAGCTGAAATTGCGGAACAGTTGCCATAAATGCAAACCAATGGACAACTTCTCGAGGATCGTAATCGACACCCAATCTTCTGAATATACCATAAATGTCCTCCAATTGATCTCTTCTCTCCTTTTCGTTCACAATAATGTCTTTCACTTCGATGTCTCTGAGACTGACATCCGATCCGTCAAACAATCGGTGCTTTTTTGTGGCAAAGTTTGGTATCTTTTGCACCGAAAGGTAGAGTCGGAGCCAAAACCGTATGTCGTTATCACTCAAAAGGGTTTGAATGCATTCGTGTCTATAGAGTGGACACTCATTCTTGTGATACTTCCAGTCATTCTTCTGACACTCTTTACTGCAGTAATAAAAACGCAAACATTTCGCGCAGTATTTCAATTGATCCGATCTTTGTATACAATTATCGCAATATTTGTCTTTATATTCATTGTGTATGATATGAATGATAGGCAAGTCTTCGGTTATCACATCTCCCGGTGATAACGGTTTCGACAGTTTTGGTGACATTTCTGGCCATAGATTTCAAAACAAATGAAAACACGTTTTAATGAAAACACATTTATTTATTATTTTGTATCAAAACATGTGTAGACTTACCGCTGATTTGATCCAATTGTGTGATAAAAGTGGATGTAATTTGTGATCAAATCTATGGTAAATATGCTGT